AGTTGCAATCGTTGATGTGAACGTTCAACATGAACGTCAGCCCCAACAAGGATCTCAGAAAGGCTTCAAGTGGAACGTCCAAAACGCTGGAGATCGAAGAGATAGTAGGACCTCTAGAACTACGACTACCACTCAACAAGATCATGGAGTTGCAATCGTTGATGTCAATGTTGAACATCAAACTGCTCCTGGTAATAGGTGGGGAGCTGCCAATAACGACCAGCAAAGATCGGGTTTCGGTAGGCAAGATTTTGGATCTACTTCTTTTGATGTTGACGCCCATAATAATTCTGTTATCCAGCGAGAAAATAGACAGGGATTTGAGTGGAATGTTCAGAATACCGGCCAGCAATCAAGGAGACAGCAAAATCACCAGGGTATAATTCAAGTTGATCAAATGTCTGCTTCTGGAGGTCCACAATATTCACAAGTGCATCAGCAAAGTCAGCAAAGGGTGGGTCAGTGGAGCGTAGATGTGCAGCATAATGCAGAAAGTAAATACACTAAACAACAAAGTCAGAAGGTTACTCAACACAGCTATGAAACACAGCAAAGCTCCTCCTCATACCAACAGAGTTTCCATCAAGAAACAAAACAATATGGAGTAAGCCAAGGAGAAGCAAACTTTCCAGCCCTTGTACAAAAACATGGAAATTGGGAAGTTAGACGAGTAAGCGTTGATGATAACAAACCTTTTGGTACCCAGACATCCATGGAAGTGCAACCACTCGATAGGAAGGTCACCTTGGGTGCAAAAGACCACAACGCTCCACAGAGAAAAGAATTGATGAAAGAATTCAAGCAAAGGAGAAGTTTTGAAGATGTTACAGACGATGGAACTCACGTGAAACGCACTATAATAACCAGCGGCGGAACAAGTTATGATAAACCAGGAAGTGAAATTTCTACACGAAAAATTCAGGATCACATCGTCATGTCTAAAAGGTAAAAGAAAATTAATACATCTACGTTATTTTTGACAAACTTTATTCCCAAAAAGTATCAAAAGGAGATAAAGATGCCCCTGAAATAATCTTTCCCTACAAATATGTCATTAGTAAGGATTAAGCTTTTGCTCTTCCCGAGGTTGGGCGGAAAATTGTGCAACGAGGCGTTCGTTTGTTCTCTTTATTTGGAAAGCAACTACGACAGACTGCATCTTTGAATTCGTATATGTAATAGGACTCCATGCTGTCCAATTAAGAAATAACTGGACGAGGAAAATTCCGAGGACTGACAAAATTGGATGAGGCCGTAGGCTGAGTCCAATTTGGCAGTCAGAGGAATTTTTCGAGTCTAATTATTTCTTGATTGGGGAGCATGAAATCCCATTACCTATTAATTATATAGCTGCCTAATTAATCCCATATCAACGAGACCTGTCCAATTAAGAAAATAATTGGACAGTTACCTATATGGGATTAATGAGAAGCTGAATAATTATTATCATAACTTTAAACTTCTATGATTAATGTAATATCGAGAGTATTATGTTATATCCTTTTGCCAATACCCCTTTTTCAGTCTACGCTCATTTAGGTTCTTACATTTTTCAAGTTTTTCAACAACGAATTAAACAACTCATATTTCGTCTAAGATTATTTTGCTAAGGAGAATGTTTTGATTTTGTTTACAGAAGCTGAGCTAAACATTATGCAGTTCATGGCATCATACAGAAATATCAACATTAGATAAATAAATTAAATAAATAAAACTGTAGCTTTTAGTAAATAATTTTGAAACTTATAATAATAATTTCTTGGTAAAGAAAAATGTCGTGGAATGGAATTGTAAATACTAATCATTATTGTAACATCTTAAATGAACTCAAAGGACAGATTACAAGCCTTATTCGACTGGGAATAGATTGGGGAGTAAAGTCCAATGGAGACTACTCCAATTCAAAGTCGAATTCTTTGCTATCAATAGGTTTAGCTTTTCTTTTTAGTGTGGAACATTCACGCATTTCCAAGTAAAGGTCCCTGGTTTTTAATCCTTATTTTGTACCATTATAACTACTGTGCAATTATTGGAATTTGTGAATTTTTTAGACTAAAATGAGGAAGGAAAACTTGAAATAATGTAGACAGCTTTTAATTTTTTATATTGCACTATATATAAGATTAGCACACTCAGTCGATGCTTACAGAAATGACAATATTAGGTTTTAATATTTGTGTATTTTTTTATTAAAGAGCTTAATAAATTAGTAAAAAATATATTGGCATTGATAATGACTGGTGGTTACTAGTTGGGACTACATTGGTGCATTGAATAAGAAGGAAACTCAATAGGATGTTTGAATGATGACGTCATTTTACTACCACTACCAAAATGCTTAGCAAATTTTCTTTCTTATCAAGTGTGCAAGGGAGTCCTGTGGCGGATTTAGGGGGGGTTCATTGGGTGCAAATKAACCCCCCMCCCCCCCCCCCCCACCGGCTGGTACCTTGGATTTTTTATATTTTTTTAAATAAATAAATAAAATTATAGTACTAACTCATGAGATTTAATATAAAATGGGACTGGTGGATAAGTTATCCTTATCAGGAGCGCCCCTAGGCCAGTGATGTGCCTCATGGGAAAAATGATGATGCAARAGAACGTTATTGTTGTGCCGAGATTTGCAAAAATGAACCCCTCCTCTTAAAGTCCTGGATCCGCCACTGGAGCCTGGTAGTGGTAGAGTAAATAACGCTATATAAAATGCAAGTGACCTATTAAACACTGTGTAAAATGTAGGTTAATATGCTGATGGTAGGCTAACGTCCGGAACGTCAGTATTGTTACGAACTTGTTTACACGTTGTTTAAGTTTCCTTCTTTACTTGTTGTACACCTAATTAAAAAAATTTTCTCATCGGCAAAGGCGATAGGCAATAGGCGAAAAGCGATAGGATATACGTCATACAAAGATCCAGAGCCAGCCCGTACTGCTCGGAACGAGTTACATGATTGGATTAAAAAACAATAGATTGGTCAACCAAACAATAGCACTAAACCTAACCTTACAAAAGCGGTACTGTACTTAGGGAGCAATGAAAATCCAGCTTTCGAGCGGAACTGGATTACTCAAGATCCAAGAATTGCTGGAATGACYTGTGTTTCTTCTTCTTCTTCTCGTCAAGAGTATAGACCTTAGTGTTGAGACTGATTCGATGTTCTTTGTATTCACCGAAACCATTTCCACCGCCTTTGGCGATGACGCTTTTTGAAGTAGTTGTATATTGCCATTTGCGATGATAGCCGGTACTGAAATAGTCATTATATTTTCTCATGATGTTAGGGAATATGGATCTGGGAAAATGCTATGTGATGATAAGGTCACCCCCTAGAGAAAATATTCAAACGTTCTGTCATCCAAACGGTTGCGAGCAACTGCTGCTACGGAAACAGAGTGTTTGCTTACATTTGCTATCTTTAACAAGAGTGGAATCGTACGATTTGCTCTCCCAACAAAAATATAGGGTTTTGGTGGACGTCAATCATAGTGTTTCCATGTGACATTTTCGAAGGGCACATACTCATGGAATGTCATGGAAACGCCTCGATTGTAGTCCGCCAAAAACCTAGTATACCTAGAGTATTAAAAACTTTTTAATTAAAAAACTGATTTATTGAAAGCTCAGAACATAAGACATGAATATTATGCTCGTCAACTTCTACTGGCTTTCAATCGAACAAAAATTCGCTTTCCCACAAAAAAAGTGACAAGAATCGTGGATCACAATTAATGTGAAACCTTATCATAGCTAAATTTAGCCAACTTTTGTTGATCTGATCCAAATAATACCTTTAATGGGAATTGTTATGATTATTGGATAGTAAATAATAAGTCAGTGTATTAATAGAAAAAGCCAAACATTGGTACAAAATAATGAGTAAAATGAATCATGGGTATTTTCAATTCAATCGGAAAAACTTTTGGTTTTGAGAGCCCAATGTGGCTGAAATGTCCTCTTTTCTCATCATCTTGATTAAAAAATCTTCAAACTAATATTTCAAACCTCAAGACTATAGATGATATTAACTATGAAATGCCGGTACTATTAGATGTTTCAAATAGTATACGAAGACAAGTGGGAAGAGAGCTTATAGGTGCTTCTTTTCCATCTTTATTTATTAGACTTCCGAATTCATCAAAATTTGGTGGCTCGGTTCACCTAAGCCAGATACTTTAAAAAAATCTATTTCACAAAGTTTTCAAATTGTGGTCATGCATGGCTATGTAATCTAATATATAAATTAATATTTAAATCATTCAGTTTTCTGCATCAGCGAGTTTGTCGTTCTTTAGACTGAAGCTATGACGTCAGACATGGTCTGAAAACAGAAATATCATTGTGTGAAATACTACAAAGTGGTAGTTTTCTAAGGGGGAAATGATTGAATCTGATCTTTATATATATCTATAAAATTTATTAGAAAAATCGAAAATCCATGGTGTACTTTTAATTGATATAAATACATTGCGTGACAAGTATCGATTTCAATTCATGTTAAATACCGATTGCTGTTTACTGTTTGGATTCTTAATTTTTAGAGCATTTATTTATACTTCATAATCATGTTAAATACAACGATATTGGAAGATTTATATTAACTAGTTGAAAGCAAATCATGGTTGAGATAAAAATGCTTCAATTGACTTCACAGCTACAGAATCCGAATTTTTTTTCTTTTCTTTCTACTACAGCAATTAAGGTTTTCTTTTTAAAATTATATGATTGTATGAGTTTGATGGTTGGCGAAACTACAATCAACAAAAAGACGACATTACTGCTTTTGGAGTTACTATCAATTACTGAAAGAAACAACTATAATTGGTCTATAAAATATTAAAAGAATTTGAAAGGAAGAATCGAGGTTTTGGATGATAGATTGTATTTACTCTGCGGAGGGTCTATCTACGTTGATGATTTTTACGTGCCGCACCGTGGACCTCATCTGGAAGGATCTACATCAGCTATAGTTGAGTGCACTTCATAAATGCTAATGTTTGCCTTTGATCCTCCCACTTTATCGAAATCTGCGACACAACTTACTGGTTTCTTGGCATCGACGCATTTAATATTTGCAACGAAGACACCAAGAGATAAACATACTAATCCAACAAGAACACAACTTACCAAAGGTAAATTACTTTAAATGATTTTGCAAACTAATAGTAACTGATAGTATAGTATTTAACACATATTAACGAGGTATTTACTTCAAAGCAATTGAAATAAGTGCCTGAATTTCTGATTTTTTGGTATTCTGTATATGCAAAAAAAAATCTTTCAAGTGTCAAATATCAAAAACACAACTGTCTATGTACCCTTTTTGACAGTTCTCCAACCATTCATTTATTCCTAACTGCAACTGAAGTTCAGAAGAACACTGAACTAAACTAGTGAAAACATTTTTTTAGCATTTGGCCATATCAATTATATCAATTATACAACGATAATTATTACAGATACTAAGGGGTAGGTATGCACAAAAGCATGTTAAAATTGAATGCTATTTTTTGGAAGTTAGCTTCGAGGGTCATCAGACCTACCATTTTCTTCAAGTTATGAGTTTTGAATTAATACCAAAACCTTAATACCAAAAATGTCGAAGACGATACTAGAAAAGTTCTCACGGACACGAAGGCAAAAAGTCAAATCTAACAATGGCAAAATAGCAGGGGTCTTTTTGTTTTAGTTATGCTAGGTTGAGCTATTCAGATGTGCAATACAATCGGAATTTACGATTAGAGTTTCGTTTAACTTACAGAACTCTAGTAGTTTGGCATGTAACTGGCATGAATAATACAGGCATTATTTCCATAGATGCATTACTAGATAGGAAATAACTATTTAGAATTTAACAATCAATATAAAATAATAAATATGTATACTATTAAACGTTTTCATGTCTCAATATAATAACTAAACAGAACTTGAGATTTCGGTAAACGTTGATACTCCGCAAATACAAGAATTTTCTCGTACATCTAGCATATGCCTTTGCTTTCCTAATGCTTTCCGAAGACAAAATAACCTACAAAGCTCATTTTATTTTTTACATATCCACATATCCTTTGGATTTCATAAGGATAACAGAACATCACGAGTAAAACAAATCTAAATTAAATAAATCTTTTCGTTTCGACTCAATGAACTTCAGGTTAAATATCTTGCTTAGACATGTCAAAAGCATAAGTCCCCATAAAAGGCTTCATGGACGGACTAAAGCGACGGGAAGCTGCGCAATTATAATAACCAAGCCAAATCAAGCCCATTTAGAGTTTCGGCAAAACCTTCTTTTTTAGACTACGAAAAGAAACCTTACTTCAAAAAATACCAAGCTAGATAATAGTCATTCATTTATAACATAACAATGTTGAAAAGCTTCTTACGATAAGTACTTAAGGACAATCGTGTCCTAAATCAAAGCCAAAACTAATAAAAACGCATTATGTGTGGAATTACGAAACGGAATCTAGATAGTTTTAGGTTTATTTTTGTTCATACCATTTTATACCATCATTTGCATAAAACACCAAAACGTTGAAAGAAAAAAAGTTGGGGGGAAAAAAGAAGAAAAGAAAAAAAAAAAGAAAAAAGAAAATATTTTATTAGCAAATACTTGACCGTAATCTCTAAAGGAAGATCCATCTGTAAATATCTTTTATCCGCAAGCCCATATTTATTGATTAAGGCTTATTCTGGATTGCCTTTACAACCTTCTATTAACTATGTTACAACCAATCAAAGAATTTGAATCTGTCTACTTTTTAGTAATTGCAGAAACGTTTTCTCGATAATTTTTACGATATTACTCCAGCCATTATTGCTGTTGATTAAGGACGTTTATGGCCGTTGATCGCGCGCATCCTTTCTACGCATGAATTTTGTGAACGCGCGCTAATCGTGATGACGTCATTCCAATGTTTTGATAAGCAAAATGTCATAAAGACATTTTTAAGATGTGGGGATCAGCCCTCCGCTGTAGCCAGGTAGTGATGTAGACACCCAACACAGATCTTAAGGGAGGTTGGGTGGATTGCGAGGTTTGTTTTTTATTTTTTATGCCTTGTGGAATTGCAAAGCTTGTTAGTTCCGGTTTCGTGTTTGCCGCAGTAGCGTCACTGTGGTTAATATATGGGCCACTTATGAACGAGAGCTATGAGGCATTCTCACGATCTCTTAATCGAATAACCAGAGGATTATGACTTGCATGTATGATTTAGTTTAGTCAAATCCAATTTCCGGTCTAGCATCAATGCTGCGTTCTGATTGGATGAGCTATTACTAGGCTATGAGTTATATCCTACTAGTAGCGAACGTATTGCCAGCTTTGAAAACCAAAACATTAAATTTCACTTTAATTGAAAACTTGTTTGCAACTATATATAATTTAACGGCTTATTGGATTGGACTAAAAAAATTAGTCCTTTAGCCCTTATGGCTCTATTTGTTATTAGCATAAACCTACTAGCATACTATCACATATCTTGCAATTTGATTGGCTAACGTACTCACTATCTATCCTGTGATAGATAGCGAGTAGCGAAAAAGTAACAAGTACATGGTCAAGTTTCGTCGAAATCTCTGTTTGTTCTCTAAAAAATCTTTAAAAATCGAAAATACGAGACTGTATCAAGGAAAGGAATGAAGGTTTTGGACAGTCAGATAAGTTAAAAACTAAAGAATTATGGCAATTTTAACACGAAAAAGCTGCCGTCAGATTTCATTGAAATTTTTCGACGGACAAACAACTGACTACTGAGATAACGATGGCATTTTAAAAGATATCCTCAAAGAACCGAAAAAATCCAAAAGACAACTTATTCACATGTATTCAAGAAGCATTTTAAACGGACAGACCGATCAAAACGGCGAAACAATAAAGAAAGTGCAAGCATAGTTAATAGAGGGGAACTATGGTGCAAGTTAATTGACAAGAATGGCACGGCTTTGAATAATCTGACAACAAAATATTTGTAAATAAATGCGTTCAGTTTATCATTCATTAATTAGAAAAATGATCCCAAGAAAAGAGAGTTTTGAGCGTAATAATAGAGACAAAAAGTTATAGAAATAGAGCAAGTTTAAGCTTATATGCACGTTAAGACATCGAGTCGAGTTCGCAAAGATGAATGAAAACAGTGCCGCCGGTTGACCGTCGTTTTGTTCAGTAAAGTTTTCAGTGTCATTCTTTGTTTTTAATACTATAATATTAGCTAGTAGGTTTATGCTAAAGCAATTAGACTACTCGTTCTCGTTTTCTTTGAGCAAATAGTCGATTCGGTGCTACGCGCCTCATCGACTATCTATTGACTCACAGAAAACTCGACCTCGTAGTCTAATTGTTGAATAGCCCATTTGGGATCGAAGAATAATTGCTAAATATTCAAATGACTTTGAAACGTTTGTTATTATTGCTCTTGTTCCTGCCATTTTCGCTACATATTTTTGCATTATTGAAGGCGTTAATGCCACAGATTAAAGTTGGCAAAATGCCCTTCCAATAGGCGTGCTACGTGTGTTGAAGTCGTAGATCTTTGCTCATTTGCATCATTTAGGTCTAAACATGTATATTTGCCTCTCTAACGCTTTTGTGTGGAATGAATAACGCTATTCACCACTCTCATAATGGCTGCCAAGTTCATGAAAACGAGTCATTAGTTCACGATAAAAGATATAAAAGCACATGAAATTTAATGAAGTAAAATATAAAAACTGATCTTTTGTTTTGATCTGAATTCGCGCTATCCACCTTTATTTTGAATGAGCAGCCTTGCTAAGCTTTGCAAGATGACTGGGTGGCCTCATTTTCGTACGCTCGTCAGCCATTATGAGAACGGTGAATTATTAACATTAATTAAGATAGATTCTTTCTGGTTTACAGCAGACGGTTGTCAGTGTTTGACCACCATTTGGGGCAAATAATGAGATTTGAGGACTTTTATCAGCTGATTCAGTGAAACCCAGCCATTTCCCGTGTATTAAGACCACTTTTCGGGTACAATTACAGAGCGATAATACACGGCATGTTTACATACACTCTTTCTTAGCTTTTCGTGTCGTACAACAAAACAGTTCATTGCGCTGCTAGTTGTTTACAGCCGGGATAATTTAACTTCTGAAAGTTGTATTAAATGCGGCCGCTTTACTATTAACATTATCTGGCTGTAATACACAACTAGCAGTGTAATAACCTCCATATAATACCTATTGAAACAAAAAAAAAAAATAAATGTCTTTTCTTAACAGCATTTAAGAAAGTGAAAATCAAAGATACAACACCAGAAAGTTATGAAGTAGAAACTTTGATAACGAATCATGGCATTCAGGATTACAAAGCAAGTAGTGACTCCTCAAGACCAACACATCCATACTTGGTCAATGACGGATGGGAAAACCACAAGTAGAACGCGCACCTTCCAAGACCCTAGTGCGACAACATACTATAATACAAACAAGGAATATGGAATCACAAGGAATGACCAAGTGACCCATAGTGGTGCAGCAATTTCAACTGCCGTTGCTGGACGTCATGGCCATGTGGATTCCTCATCTTTTACTTTTTCTGCTGATGGGACTCAGGATCAAAGAACAGAAAGCCTATCAAAGGGAAGTGGGTATAAAGCACAAGCGCCA